CGCCTGTCCGCTGTGTTTCAAAACTTCAGGCGGGATCACGTCCGCAGAGAGACTTGCAGTTTCGCAGTTGAGCAAGTGCTTTCTGCGTCTCATCCACTGTCGGCGAGTCTACTTCACTCATCTGCACTACATGCTGCTTCAGGCCGTTCCATGTAGGCCAGTCAATCTCTGAGGCAGTCAAAGTGTTTACGCCAGATCTGCATTATGTCTGCAGTCTGTGTGCAGTTAGCGCCTGAACTACCATGGAACAACTTCATCAGCCACTCCAACCTCGGTCTGTACACCGCCTTCAAGAAGTCAAAGAATTCCTTGTGTAGACGTCGATGGACTTCCATCTGCTTCAACTTCTCCGTCCACCAGGCATTTTTAACGAGACGGAGCTCGCAAGTCAGTCGTCCTCGAATTCTGTTAAACTTTCTCTTTTTCCTTAAGTCACTGGGGTCTGCCACATATGCAGAAAACGTTGTAAGCTTCTCCCACACCAATGCGCCAATCGTCTCATTGTTCTCATTTAACCAATCAGGCCGTTTCCAGTTTGCAAGCCCGATAGTCTCATCTGCAGTAGCTGTAACCTGGTCGCGAAGTGGTGCCACCGGTCGCCCACGGGCTATGATTCCAATAACATGCGTGTGGCCGTCGCCTTCTCCAGCTTAATACGTTTCTCCCCAGCACTGAGGGAGAGAAAGTTCAATTTACGCCGATTCACGGCGGGAGTGCAATAAATAGATTTACGAAAATTTATGTACAGTTTGGTCCCCACTAATTTTTGTGCAGTGCCACACCCAGCTCCACGCAGTACACGTGTCATGCGCACTTCACGCATATCACGGGACGTACGAACAGGTGAGCGTGACCACTCCGCGGGTGCGTCCAATTTGCCATCAGACTCGTACTTAGTGCAAACCGAGTGTTCGTGATCGTCAGACCGTGAGTGGCACACAGTGATAGAAGCCTTTCAGCTCACACCTACTGAAGCAACGCCATGTGGACGGATGACATCTGTCCAAAACGATGCATCGTGCACAACGCGCGTATTGAAATTACCTAGCAGAAATAGTCGGTCGCTCCTTGGCACAGACCGTAACACGGAGGGTAGCTAAGTGTAGAAATGCTGACGCGTGTCATCAGGATAACAAATGGTCAGACCGTAAGTGCTTATAAATGTGACAAACGTACCAATTCCGAGTCGTAGGCGAACAGTCATCAGCCGCACGCAGATTCCAGTTGGTTCAACCACGAGCTAGCAATTGAGCCGATTGGATATTGCAAATCCAACCTCATGTTTCTATGGTACTGATGTGGCATTTCTCAAGCAATATAACCTATAGCCTGCGCTAGTTTTATGCGACTTGCCTTGATCAGCGAGCCAAGTGTCAATGTGCATCACACGGGTCGCTCACTCGAGTTCCGATCCAGTAGTGTGCGCACCTTCCAGCATCCGACGCTGAATAAGTTGCGCAGTCATGTGATTGCATTGCTGTGCATTCGCAGGTGAAGTGGCGGTTGTGCTTCGGAGGTTTTCTTGTGGTTCACTAGACAGAGAGGGCCAGTGAACAGCGTTAATCATCAAGCCGAAATAGTCGGTCGCTCTACATCACATTTGCTTCAACCACGAGCTCGTCAAGAAGGTGATCGGATATTGCAAACCTGACCTTATGTTCACGTGGTGTAGAGGTGGCGTTGCCCACCCAGTAGAACATGTAGTCCGCGAATGTTTCATTCAACTCACCTTCCTCAGCGAGATGGATCTCACTGAGCGCCACAATGTCCATTATACATTGCATTAATTCCAACTCTACCAATGCAGTACGTCGCTCATGGCGTTCACTCTAGAGCGAGTGATGATTTTTCAGTTGTATTGTCCATGCGGTTGGTGTCCCATGTATTTGCTGAAGTTGCATTCATGATGCTTCTTCATCGCAGTTGGGTTTAAGCAAATTACTAGGTCTTTGTAAGTTGGATAAATTTCATTCCACTTTATTTGGTTTGTTCTCTCTACCTGCATAAACTTCCATCAATGGGCCAAGTTGCTTACGCTAAGTGTACTTAACTTCGTTAACTTTATTGCGTTCGTAGCATTTAGTTGAATTACTTGTGGACTTTTTGCACTTATCGCGGATTCGTTGCCAACTAACTTATTTCACATGTTAATTTAGCGAAGATTTACGTCGGCATAGCCTCATGCTTTAACAGATATATTTTAGTTAATAATGTCATTTAATGTAAGTGAATGTTAATTGACGTCCTTGGTGTGGCTTTGCTCGATGTGCTTGTTGACAAGGTGCCACCTGTCTATTACCCACTGCCTCGTCTACACTGGCTCCGGGCGGAAGTTGGTCGTTCCTGGAGGGGACGACATGCATTCTCCTCGTTGCCGTGTTGGCCTCGAAGAGTGGTTGCATGCATTCAGTCTGCAGCGGACTGCGATCCATCCACCGCCATGCATGTGTCTGATTACCCAAAAGGTCATCCATTAGATACGCATTCACCTGGCTCATCGCATGGTAAACGTGCTCGACTCTGACGTAGAGTTTCACGTCTTCCTCTTTACCTAGCGCAATCATCTTATCCTCATTCCAATCGGCTTAACTTCCCGTGTTTATTGTACATAATTTGACTTAATTCTTTCCTATGCAAAGTGATTTGTGCAACGCGTTATTTATGCGCGCTGCTTGCTTCTATCCAGAAGAGCTACTCAGTTGTTTTTGCAAGGTTTCACTGATGTTGCACCGTGATGGATTAAAGACCTTTCGTGCTGTTTGGTGGTCAAATAATTACATCCATAGGTTCATTTCTAACGAAGCTGTGACTCAGCCTGTAGTTTCAACTGCAATCACCCATCGTTAGCCCATTTCGTTGTCATCCACGCGCTACAAGTGACCTCCAACTGCTTTGTCCTACAGGAACCGGTGTGGAACCATAAACTAAACGAACGCCGTGTACGTGTCGTCGCGCACACTTGCCTACGGTAATTGACGTCGAGAGTACGACTGGGACAAGGAACCCAAGCGTCACTCCTCCTCTACATCACGTGATCCGGCAAGGACAGTGTTCATTTTCAACAATGGCACTCCATAAATTTGCTTCCACTAAACCGCAGATGTAATAAGCAGAAGTGTACACGCCCAGTTAAATGAGATATCATTTGTAAATTTTGCGGCCTTCCGTTCCACCCCTTATGTGCTGGTTAAATCAACTATAATACAGGAGGCAAATTAACCTGACTGATTCGCTCTGGTTTTGCAAAATATGCAGAGCAATCCCAATAGTCAAATATGCAGTATCACTCGTGCAACGTGTGAAAAACTGACTGCAACAGTCCAGCAAATGACGAGCATCAGGGCTTTACCATTAGAAGCTAATGGTCATTAACTTGCCCTACAGCAAACCCCTCAGAGTCAGGCTTGCTAACCGCCCAACGGCATCTGCTCCAACTCCTCCGACAATTTCTAACCCTTTAAGTAGGAAAGCCACATCCAACGTGACTACTAAGAACTATCTACTAGATGCCATATCTCATGATATTGTCACAAATCCGACGATGACAATCCAGAGACGGGTAACATACGAATCAAGCGCCTCGATAAAAGCACCTAAAGCGACCACCGTAGGTCCAATTTCTTGAGCATAAACGAGCGCTGCGATGCCCTCTTCACAACGTTGTTTACTGCCGGCCAAACAATCTCAGTTACCAGCCACAACCCTCAAACCGACATTCGCCAAACAGCACCTCAGAGCGTTAACGGTTGTGTGCACTAACATTCCTGAATCCAGGTCTTGCACAATAAAGGGCATGTTGGAAAACAGTGACGTTTCATCTGCGATGCGATTAGTATTTGGGTTGACCTAACTAGGCTACCATGCGTAGCAAGTCACCTAAATTCAGTGCACTACGGCGAACCCGATTTCCTCGAGTAACCTGGAATTCAACTGAGGAGACAGAGATAGATGGTCCTACTCTCAGTAGTTCACCTTCGCAACAAATCAAACGGGGTACGCATACTACCCGATATTCCTTGGAAATGACAGTCAAAGGAAAAGTAACATCATGGCGGCCCTTCAATGAAAAATAGCCAAAAAGGCCGTATTTGTTCATGGTGTCCCTGAACTAAGGGGATCTCCTGATCATGAAGCACAAAAACATGACCGAGAACAGTGCTGTTACCTGCACGATGCACTAACTCTGGTTCACGTTTTTACTAAATCACTAGGGAGAATTCCTTCGTCTCTAAACTACAAGAACTGCGGTCCAAAAATGTAGAAATTCGTGCCACACGCCTAGGAGATGACAGAATTCCTATTGAATAGCTGGTTGAAGCATCGCTCCTGGTTGCCTACCGATATTACGCTAAATATCGTATGCCCACGGTCACTAGTTATCAGCACTACATTGGAACATGCAACCTCGGTAACATATTTGTGTCCACAATCCTGCAGAGTTGTAGGCAACATGGCATTAGCGACACCAGACGGGACAGGAGTACACAGAACATCGCGATCTGAGCTGTTCCATGCTACCATGCAGCTTGCCTGAAATTCAAAAATCAATGACCCAAGCAAAAAGCCATTAACGTCCAACCGATGAACGTTCGAATGAATACTAAACAGAGATTTGTTTCCCCCCCCTCCACACACACACGTCTAACATCAAAAACACTATCAAGTTTGTATACTGCCGCCAATGTTCACCTTAGTAGGTTGGCCGAACTTAGAGAACGCCAGGTGTCACAACCGTGGGATCTCATTATGGTTACGGAGACCTGGTTTATCCTTGAGAGTGCATATTCTGCAGTCAGTTTACCTGGTACGGCACTGTTTCCGAATGACAGAGCTCAAAGAGGCGGTGGTGTAACTCGGTAATACAAGAGTAACCTCCGATGTGAAGTTATTGACCACCCAGAGATCCGTGCCTTAGATTCGCTTCGGTGGCGGCTATGGCTGCGAAGAAGTACCCATGGATTTTAGATGTGGTCTAGCATCTACTAAACTTTACGTGTCAAATGGACTACAAACTAAACCACGTTCTTCAGATTGTTTTGAACAAGATATACAGTCACATTCTCATCACAGGAGACTTTTATGTGCACGAGCTGGAAATAGAGGCGACAAACAGCATGCATTTCAAAACCTGTTTACATGAGATACTTTCCAGCTATCTTACGTACAATTACGTGACCTCTCCTACCAGAATTCGAACTGCTTACAAGCCTCCGATAATTTATTTTGTGCTCACCAGCGAGGAACCTACGGTAGATGGATTAATTGCAAGCATAGCAATGGATCGCAGTGACCAGATGACGTTACTGTTTAACTACGTGTGTGTTATGTGGAATATCCTGAGGAAATGGATGATAAAGTGTATAGGGTCACGAACTACAACGTGTTATCCTCGCTTGTTAAGTAGATATCTTGGATCTGCTTAACTGAATGCCCCCTAAGAAATCGTCCGGGACATTTTCACAAAGACATTTACCACCCTGGGAACACACGCGTCTGAGCAGAAATCCTTCCATCGTCAGATGAGAAGGAAGTCATTTCGGAGGAGCAGAACATGCAGCTGCGCGTGAGTGAGTTAGCATGGAGAGCTCATAAGGAATCTCCGAATTGCGAAACCTGGAATGCCCACGTAGCACAGCGTTACTTCTGTGTGAGTTTGATCCGCGAAGACAAGGTGACGCATCAACAGGCGATATTGACGAGAATCTACACGAACCGCAAAGTTTTATACAGGCATGTTATTGGCCTCCGTAAATTGCGACGCGCAATTCCAGCACTGATGACGACTGACGGGTGCACGCGATCAGCGACGGAATCAGCGGATATCATACGGATCCAATACAAACGTTAATGGGAGCAACGGGCCAAACGGTTATCCCTGTTTTTATTGTCCCACCATCAGTGTTATCGAACAGTACGTTTGCTACAGAAAGTGTGTCAACAAAGCTGTTATCCCTGCGCAATCACAGCTCTCTTGTTGTCGATAACATCTGACCAAAGGCTTTACACGCAGTAGCCAGTGATCTAGCTGAATCACTAGCCATATCCTATCAGCGCGGTATGGAGGAGGACCATATTCCAACAATATGGAAGCGACTGTTCATTACTCATATTCATAAGGGAGGTAATCACACTGACCCAAAATATTACCGTCCGACAATGCTACTCCCTGTGATTGCAAAGTTATGGAGTCTGTCATAGCTGACGTACTTCTGCATTATCTTCAAAATCACAAGATGTAGCACCAGCGCAATATGGCTCGCGCCATAGGCAAGACTACATGTATAACCTTGGGTCATATGTATTGCAAACAACGTTCCAAGCACACGAATTTGGAGTGCTTATTCAAATTCAACTTATCCGTTAAAAGCAATCAGATGCAACCAGCACCTCGGCTTGCTGCGAAGAGCATTCGGAAGGTTTGACCCATCCATGTTCCCCAAAGATGCACTATACTTACGTACGCTTACACGTTAAATACGTTAACCAAATTTGTCAACCTTGGTTGAAACGCGACTCAGAAGTGCTAGAAAATCCACAACACAAGGCCACAAAATTGTCAAGGACCTACGAAACCCGTCCTAGCATCAAACCTGAAAACAGTGTGAGTGTTCAGTGGCCGCTACCAAAGGCTGCGCGGCGATCTCATATTAGTCTATCAAATATTGAGTGACTCTAACCACGTATGCCGTCACTTGCTGAAACTGAGCCATAACACCAAACAGAGGTAATACAATGAAATTGTGTGCACAGTATAGCCGCCTGGAATGGCAGCAGAATTATATTTCTATTCGGGTTTGCCAACCCTAGAAGTCTCTCCCAAACGCAGTTGCCTCAACCTCCGCCTTCAATTTTTTCAAAAAAGTTTGATTTTACCCTTGGCCACCAGCACTTCTTTACCTAAACTGTGCTACTTTGGAATTTATTAGTTATCCCTTCGAACCGGATTAACATGTTATATATACCTTAGGAAACGGTACAGAAGTGAGTATTCTCGTTTTTACTTTCTCTTGGAGTACAACACATATAACCGTCCTCACTTTGCTTCGTCGTTCGCATTCAATTCCCACCTACAATATTAGTATGCAGCAACCTACATGCTAGATAACGGTTTAAGCAGACAACTCACCTATATTTTGCTAATTGTAGTTTTATCTCCACCATCCTGCAGGACTTTTCAAGTAAATTCTGTTTTACCGAACATAAAACATTTTGAATTTTTCATTGCTCAAACACAGCGTGCTTGTGTTTGCCTGTGAAGGTGTGTCTGCCGGCTCCGTCGATAAAAACTGGCTCCCATCTGCTTGCCTCCCGGTCTTATTACTTCGGGTTTAAACTGTATATGGGGTGTTTGGAAGGAGCTATGGTTGTTAGAAAGCAAGCTGCACATGTCCCTCTATAGATGCACGCGTCCTGTGGCTCTGTAGAGTCCACAGTGACAGGCATATCAACACACTGATTCCGCTGGAGGGGTCGGATTTACAATATCCGATCGCCTACATGGCCAGCTGGTGGGTGAACCAACAGGCATCAGCGCGCGACTGATGACTGTTCGCCTGCGACTCGAAAACGAAAGCTTGCAACAGTTATAAGCACGTACGGTCCGACCATGTGTTATCCTGATGACACGCGTGATGAATTCTAACTCAACTATCCTCCGTGATAGGGTCTGGGCCGAGGAGCGGCCGACTATTTCTGCTGCGTGATTAACAACGCGCGTGTTGGGCGTGATGCATCAGTGTTGACAGATGTTATCGGTCTGCATGTCATTGGTTCAGCGAATGCGAACGGTGACGGGCTGCTTTCACTGTGTGGCACTCACGGCCTGACGATCACCAACACTCGGTTTGCACTGATTGGGAGTGATATAGCAACCTGGACTCACCAATGGAGTGGTTACGCTCACCTGCTTGACTATGTCATCGTACGTCAGCTTGATATGCATGAAGTGCGCATGACACGTGTACTGCGTGGAGTTGAGTGTGGCACCGATAACAAATTGGTGCGAACCAAACTGTACATATATTTTCGTAAACCTATGTATAGCAGTTTCGCCGTGAATCGGTGTACATTTAACATTCTCTCCCTCGGTACTGTGGCGAAACATACTGAGCTGCATAAGGCGATGGCTGCACGCCTGTGAGCCGTGGAAGGCATAGCAACAGTGGGCGACCGGTGGCACCACATTCGCGACCAGGTGACAGCTGCTGCCGAGGAGACCATCGGGCGCGCAAACTGCAAGCGACTTGATTGGTTTGCTGAGAACAATACAACGATCGGCGCATTGGTGTCGAAGAAGAATGCAACATTTGCTACACATGTTGCAGACCCCAGAGACATGGGGAAGAATAGTCAGTTTCGCAAATTTCGAGGGGGACTGACCCGAGAGCTCCGCGACATTAAAAATGTTTGGTAGGCAGCGAAGGCGAGGCAGATGAAATGCTACACCGAACGCCGCCAACACAATGAACCATTTGACTCCTTGTAGGTAATCTGTGGGCCGAAATTGGAGCCGCTGAGGACGCTGATCGATGTGTGTTTAGGCGCTACCCGCACCCAGTCTACAGACATAATGCAGATCTGGCGGAAACACTTTGACTGTCTCTTGAACAACCCTTCAGACATCGACCGGCGTACATTTAACTGCCTAAAGCAGCACGATGTAAAGACGAGACTGGCGTACGCTCCGACACTGGATGAGACGCAGAAAGCACTTGCTCATCTGAGAAACGGTAAGTTTGCCGGAGCCGACGGGATCACGCCTGAAGTATTGAAACACGGCGGACCCGCGTTTGTGACTGCGTTGCACCAATTGGTGGATTGAGGAGGAGGTGCCTTCTGAGATGAAGGATGCTCTTGTGCTACCACTGTACAAGGGCAAAGGGAGCAAACAATGTTGCACGAATTATCATGGCGTTAACTTGCTGAGTTGTGCGAGCAAGGTGATTGCCCGAATCCTGCTCAACAGCCTCGTCAGTCAGGTTGTGGAACCTAACGTGGCGGAAGGGCAATGTGCATTCCTTTCGGGACGCAGCACTATAGCTATAGTGTCTGCGACTCGTCAGATGCAGGAAAAGTGCAAAGAACGACACCAGCCATTGTACTCGCTTTTTGTTGATTTCACCAAGGCATTTGATACAGTGAACCGCGAGGCATTGTGGCTGGTGTTGGGTAAGTTTGGTTGCCCGCGTAAGTTTGTAAGCTTAATTGAATGTCTGCACTGGGTTATGCGGGCGAGGATGCAGCTAAGTGGAGAGACCTCGGATGACTTTGCAGTTGTCTCTGGTGTGAAGCAAGACTGTGTCATAGCTCCTGTCCCCTTTAATATCAATCGTCATGCAACGCTGTCCCGTGCTTTTGATGCCGCTTGTGCTTACGGTGTTCGTGTCGAGCACCTTATTGAGGGTGGGTTTCTGAACATCCGTTGTTTAAGTGCGAGAATTATAGTCTATGAGACAACTGTCCGTATGTTGCTGTTTGCTGACGACTGTGCGTTGTTTTCACACAGCGCGGATGAGTTGCAGCACATGACTAGTGCTCTGGTTTCGACAGCGGCCAAATTCGGGCTCACCAACAACACAAGCAAAACTGTCTGTCTCTTTCAGCCTGCAACAGAAGTGCAATCTTCAATATTGCCGCGAATCAGCAGTGATGCTGAAGTATTGCAAACCACCTCCCGCTTCTGCTACCTTGAGAGTGTGATGTCGACTGATCAGCAGCTACGCAGTGAGCTGCCTATTCGCGTTTCGAAGGTAGCCGCGACATTTGGGACGTATGGAACAACCATCAGCCTACTACTGGCACGAAGCTGATGGTGTACAAATCCATGATGCTCTCCATTCTTCTATACGCAGTGAAACGTGGACGATATACCGGCAGGATGTGCGATATCTCGAGCGGTTCCATCAGCAGTGTTTTCGACGGATTTTGCGCATCTGCTGGGGCGACAAAGTTGCTGACATGGAAGTGTTACGTCGTAGTGGAACGTATGCAGTGCACTGCATACTTTTGCTGAGGTATCTGAGGTGGCTAGTTCATGTGAGTCGTATGGATTCGACGCAAGTGTTATATTGTCAGCTGAGTATTGGGAAGCGGCACGCGTGAAAACCGAAGTTACTTTAGCAGGACATGATTATAGTGAACCCCTCGCGTTCTAATCTTGATTGAAGATCATGGGATTTGAAAGCGGTTACTGGGCGTATATGGCGCGATCTAATCACCAAGGCTGTAGCCGAGGTGCGGGAGAAAGACGACATACATGCAGAAAAGAAGCGGCAAGTGCGGAAGCACCAATCAATGATGGGTTGTACTCCGTCGACATCGAGCGCATGGTGCTGTAGCACATGCGGTCGCGAGTGCCTGAGTCAGTCAGTCTTAGTGAGCCATGAGCGAGGCCACTCGGGACCACTACCGAAGCGACGACGGGTCTTGCAGAGAACGTAGGCAGATCCAGCGCAGGGTTGGTAGGCTGGCTGCATTCGATTTACTAACCGCGTGCTTGCATGCTAAGTCCCTTTATTTCAGGTGGTGGGTTTTCAATTTTTTCCCAATGCTTTTCTTTCTCAAATTATTGTCTACCTGTACGCTCCTCCATAAACCTGCACACCTCGCTTAAGACAATTATAGTTAATTACGATAACATTTTCGTATTTGTGTCATTTCCGTCAAAAAATCTATATTCTGACCTCGTGAACTTATCTCCGATACTTTTGTTAAAAATTATTGCGTATGTTCATTAATTTAAGATTTTGTCACGCTTCCTTATGCAATACTCGGTTTACTTTCTTTGTTATATTTCTCTTAAGTGATTAGCTGTTACTTGATATCCACGGTGTGGCTGCGCTTGTTGTGCATAGTGCCAAGTTGCCTACCTGCCTCGTATGTAATACCACGTCCATGCTGGTTAAAAGGGTCAGCTGGTCGTTGCTGGAGGGGACTGGATGCACGTCTTTTGAGGCCGTGTTAGGATCAAAGAGTGGTTCCATGCAGTTAGGATGGAGCGGACTACGGTGCAGCCACCGCCTTGTATGCGCTTGATTCCACAAATACAGCGTGCTTGTGTTTGCCTGTGAAGGAGTGTGGGCTGGCTGCGTTGATGAAACGTGGCTCTCATCCACATGCCTCCCGGTCTTATTCCTTCGGGTTTACAACGGATATGTGGTGCGTGGTTGGAGCTGTGGATGGTGCAGCGCAAGTAACCCATGGTCCCTCTGTAGGCGCAGGCGCCCTGCGGCCGGCCACATAGACGGAAAATCCGAAACCGGATGCCGCCAACCATATACATATATATAGTACTATATAGCCAAGTTAATCTCATGACCCTTTAGAGAAATATTTTGCCCGACTTGCAAAAGAAGTTTGCCTGTGTGCTTAGGGTTGTTTAGTATCAGTTACAACAAGATGAGAATACCTATAGACGCCATAATGTTCGCTGGATATTTTGAGAGTTTGTAGTCTGAGCGGTTAGGTCATGTGAGACTAACCTGCTTAATACAGTATCGAGCGCGGTAAGATGGTATTGCAGGTAGCGTTGCCACACTTGGACTGCATATTTCGCATGCGGCCGCACGCAAGCGCCTAGGATATTCGGAAATACTGGGGCGTTTAACATCCTTAACGCTATACGACGAAGTCCTATATACTGGTTTGCTATCTTTGGCACCTTTGCAGTCTGAAACGAACAACCGAGATTATCTTGAACAATTCCGCCGAGATCACACTCATAATTACCCTGCAGCAGTATTCATAATCCTAGGCTGTATTTGTGCGCACCCTAAATCCGTATGCTGAGATCATTGCAATTAGTGATGTTAACATGCAGTATGTATTGCAGCGCCATGTATTACGGGTGGTATATCCAACTGCAGGGGAGCGTCGTTACAGTTTGACCACAACGTGTGCAGAGATTTCACGATGATTAAAATAGTTGCGTATGTCATTGTTCTGTCGAATTGGAAATCAAAATGCAGCAAATTTCCTTGCAAAATTGTGTCTCGAATACGTCATCGTTCGTTATCAACCATAGCGTAATCAGTACAACAGCTGAATATATGTTCTTTATTTACACCAAGCATTTGTTGCTAATGTGTCAACTACATATTAACGGTAAAAGTAACGGTTATATTTATAACAAATTTCGAGCAACGCCTTAACGAGTAAAAGTTTGATCACACCTAGTTCTTTTAACACCTGTTCGTTTGAGAGTTCGTTTTCCAGCAAAGTATGTTTCCATATTTCGCCTAATAACCCTTGGAGATCGTCTTGGGCACCACATTGAACGAGCACGAATTTGGGGTCCTTGTGTTCAGCTGGAACATAAGCTGAAGTTGGGCTTCGTAAACAGAGCCTTCAGTTGGTCCGATTTGGACAAAAGCAATAACGTATTGATTCTTAGGTATGATGTTGGTGCAGTTTGTTATTATGCTGTTGGACAGATTAATGAGCTGAACAAAATGGAGAGGTAATGTACATTATTGTCCCAGGCCCGCATAGTAAAACGAAGAGAGCGGCGTCGTTGCATGCAGTCTAAGTAAATGGATGTCAAGCTATGATGACATCAGAGCTTTGGCCATTGATAGACAACACTTACTCTGGGGCAAATGTCTGCGTCGTCTAACGGTTCGGATTTATTCTGCTGGAGAGAGGATATCTTAAACATCACCGTAAATTCTGTTGCAAAGAGAAAAGGGTTCATGAGGTGTATAACGACTATAAAATGTTTGTAGTGGCTAGAAAAATGAGGCCGTCAGTGGTGGCAAAAAGAGGATTTGGAGATTTCTCGCAGCTAGACTCAGCCAGATTGCCAATACAAATCCAGGAAAGCGCTGGACGACCACTTCGTCCTATTGGAAGTTGTCAGTGTCGCGCAGTCGCCGAATCCTGCCGGCGGCGTAGATCATGAAAGTGGAGTGCTCAAGGCTAGCTTCTAAAGATACGATTTCCATTGCTATCCGCTACCAATCGAAGTGCAATGCAAGCCGCCGTGATATATCGTATTTTTATGTCAATCATGGCGATCCGCTGCTGTAACCCACGGCTCAGTGGCATTAGTCGCTGGCTCTTAAGAGTAAAATCGTGATATCAAATTTTGCAGGATTCTGCGGATGTGTGCTACTGACGTGTAACAATAAGACGGAACAACCGTCTAGCTCTGGATTTGTGGTGGCAGTTTGGCTGAGTTTATCCGTGAGGAACCATCTTAAAAACACCACAACCTCCCCATAATGTTCCGGAATAAACGTGCACTGTACAAAACGATCGCATGCTTTTGATAAAAACTAAAGGGCGCATTACTATGATGTCGATTGAATTAAGTTTGCTTGCATTAACTTTGCTCAATGTTGTAAATGCCTCAGTCAACCGAGCTGAGGTATAACTCACCGAAGGGTTTTCCATTCGCGAGCGTGCGATAAGGCACTGTGGAATACAAATTACATGCGCAGAAAGTGATGAACGGCCGTGAGACTTTCGATATACGAATTCACCCATAATTCAAAAGCTTTCAAGGTTGCAAATTACATGGCTACTTAAAGAAAGATATTTAAACAATAAGCTTTGTACATTTGTTATTTATGTGCGCATACAGACATGTAAAGAAATTGCAATTCTCCTTTAAATGGGTTTGTATGACGGTGGAATTGATAGACACTGAAAATTTAATAATGCCAGCGTATACCAATGCATTATACCATAAACTTAAAATATAAAATTTGCACACATAAATTTAAATTATTGAGAAACCATGCACCTAAAGAACGAAACTACCGCCTAAATTTGACCAGAAAGTTGGACGCCGTCTGGATAGGTAACTGCGATGAAAAGGCTTAAAAGCGCAGAAAGCCTTTTACTTCTCACTAATAGACTTGTCGGTGTATATATATATATATATATATATATATATATATGCGCATCAGTTCTGTAAACGAGTAGCTTCGCAGAGAAAATGTGAAATACATGCTCCCACCATCACTGGTCTTACCGCTCCTCACACAAAGTTTTGATGGGCTAATGCCGCTTCGATTACCATTTTATGATCACAAGTAACCTTCTCGATCTGTCGTCTCATACTATGGAATAGAATAGGGAAAACTAGCAGTTTCAAATGCATAATACAAGCCGATTACGTGTGCTCCCTTCTTGAGATGTTCCCCTCACTATAATTACTTAAATGTGACATGCGAGGAAAGCTTGTAAAACAGGTTGATTAGATTAAAATTTACGGTAAAAATGGAGCGGTTAGTTAACGCTGAAATTCAATTGTTGTGCATACCATAAGAGGCGGTTTCCTGTCGTATTTGTATAGGAAATATGCAGCTTCTCCTAGGCTGCTTTAATAATTTTCCTAGCCTCAGTTCTGGAAATACTGTATTCTGGTGTTCGACCACTTTTGCTGGCATCACCAAGTTCAATTTTGCCAAGAAGCTCGAGGGATTTTTAACTGATTTTTCAATGAATTCCACACGACATATCACATCACCCTGGAATGCGAAGACAATAACGGATTAGCTCGATCAACATGAAGGATATTGTGATTTAGTTATAACTAATGTTTGCAATTGCAAGGAAATTTTCTTAGGTTTTACTAGCAGTTAGAATCAAACAGGCATATTTGTCAAAAATTCATAGGCATTTGCATCCCAGTTGCAATCTTGAGGGCAAAAGGTTAGTGCCACCTTATTTACTCACTTCCTGGTATGGGTTATGTATCTGTGTTTGTGAAAATGTGAGTCAAAACACGTTACAGTTAAGCGAATAAAATATCATGTGTAACGTTTGTCTTTTGTTAACTATAAGTGGCTGATATGTGACTCTTCTGATATTCAGGCAATTAATGACACATAAGTAATCCTAACTGATAAGAAAGAATCGGTATACGAGATTTGATAAAGTATTGTAAGGTAGACCTTTTCTGGTGCCTCATATTTTCCTCGTTTAGGTCATATGAACAACCAAAATTTAATGATTTGAACATGAAATAGCTGAGCACAAAGTTTGAAGCGCATAGAATGAGATCCTTTCACAGAACTTTGCAAAAGCTTCTTAGTAAAATGTTGGAGATATTTTGCCTTATTTTACAACGAAACGCAGGATTTCTTCTGCAGTTTGGCTGACGTGGTATGCGTGCAGCTCTTTTCATATATGGTCAAGTGCAACTAATCCTCCTTTGAATCAACTGTGTAGACGAAGTCCGACGCGCTGGTAGATTTAGTTGCATAACTATCAGTTACGAAAACCACGAATACCCAATCGCGAAGAATAGGATTGAGGTTTAGACTCACCCATGAATCCATTTGAACAAAGACATACTGAACATCTCTGAAGTAGCCCGTAGAATTTACACCTGTTCGAATCATTCGTGATTTCATATCCGTCGTTCTAAAAGGGTGAAACTGTACCGACAGCCTTCATATGCTTTGGGTGCTCAGGCGCAACTTTAACACTTGATCCAAAGCCACTGCCCCCCGCCTCTTCGTCTGGATAATACGACCAATGCTAGAGTATGGTTATCTCGCGTATTTGCCCATCACTCGGACGCGGTAGAAAATATTGAGCGATTGCAGCATACGGCAACCACGCTGATCTCGAATTTACGATATGTGCTAGTGGAAGACCTGTGTAAGGAACTAGAGATTTACACCCCAGCTTATCTTCGACTACGGATTGACATCATCATGACACACCGGATATTACATCTCGTTGCATACCCCATGTTGAGGCCGTCGCTGCATCAGCGCCTAACAAGCAACACATGAGGACACCAGAACAAGCTTGTAGTACCGGATTTGAAGCGCGTCGCTCGCCAACTCTGTTTTGAACTGAGAGTGGTGAGTGTATGGAACAATTTGCCGCAGTACGTAGTTGGGGAAAAGTCGGTGTCGGAATTGAAGAACTTCCAGGACAAGCAAGTTGCCGATCTAAAACATATCGGGCGCACTCCAAGATAACGCGTCTTGCTACATATGTGATATAACAAGCAGCTACACCAAGATATCTCTTTTTGTTGCTTCCAACCACTAATCATTTACCCAAGCAGCAGTCACCCAGAAATCGGATCCAAGTGTATCGGCCATAAGAAATCAATGTATACCTGGAGTAGGAGGAGATTTTTCTTAAGCATGCAACGCAATACCCCTAGAATATTTTAAACTCTTTTTGGAACCAAATAGTAATGAATAGCTTGGAGGCCAATGATCAATTCATGTAGGATGAGCTATTGTCATATGAAATTGAACAGCAATTATAAACATCGTCGGTTGGTTGCATGTTGACATCCAAACAAAATACTCGACCTAGGATGCTAGTCGGTGGCAATTAGTGGATTTGCCGTGCATTTTCAGCTAATGATTCAACACTCCTAACAGTTTCCGCAATAGCACTGAATACCCAATCAAGTACATTGATGACGAACACTGGTTTGCGAAATACAAGATGCATTGCAGTTTCATTTTTGCTCAAAGTGATAGCTTACAACTGCACCTAATTAAGAACTCAGGAAATCATGTACTTGCCTTTGCGAAAAAAATCGCGCACATATCGGCCGTGCTTTCCTCGACTAGCATGACCGTGTCCACGTCTTGGAAAAATAATAATACAAAACATTAGATTGTATAACGTTCAAACGCTTGATTCGGTATGTCGTGATTACACACACACACACACCTATAATTCTAACGTGCAGCTAACTTTCACCTAAATAACTTCAATCATAAGAATATATATTAGCCAACAAATAGGACTGACTTCGTTTCGAGTGTTCGCAGCTGTGTATGGCGTTCGTTGGGAGTGCCATAGCGTTTCTAATGTGCTACCATGGGATTAACAACAAATGCTCTTAGCAACCAAAACAATTCAGACTCACGAATCCGCCTGCGGCCACCAGCTGTTACTTAAGGGGATCAGCATGAAGAAGCTGGTCAGTATAAATGCATAATTTTATGACAGGACATGTTGTACGGTATTTTGCTTGGCACAGTTAAAGCGATATTACGCAATCACTTATTCAGTTATTCCAAACGTTAAGTGGTTAAGAACATCTAGTAACACTTGTGTACATTCTCTTTAGCTGCCTCGTTTCTGCTTGTGTGGTAGTAGTAAATCTTTGAATGCCATTAATAACAACCACTTATTCTTCACTTCGATAACGTTACATGCTTCACAAATAACGGATCACTAACACTGCTTCTTCGGCCAATGGATCCCAGTAACTTGAACAATAGTCGTGTTCGGATTGTAGGCGATATTTTTCAGATATCGCACTGGTCCGATCCAGTTTTCTGGATAATCCCAGGTAACACTCTCGTTGTTGCCATGAACTGTTAAACAATCATAAATATTGGTCTGGTTTTCTATAGAGTCGCATCTCTTCTTTTTCAATGCGATACCATTTGTTGTGTTGTGGGGGAACTGGATAAGAGATTGGAAATGCGAAATGTGTATCAGAGGCTTTCCATCGGCAAGATGACGTTACATAAATGACGGCAATTTACAAAGCATGCAGGTATATTTGAGGGGAACTCAATGTATGGCATTTGAGAAAAATGGATGGATGTTTGACGGCGAATTAACGCAGAATTGAAATAATTCTTCAAGATTCTAAAAGTAAATACTCAGCAGGTCCAGTAGGATGTTTAGGGTGGAAATTACAATTAGAAAAGATGGGGCTTTTGAAAAAAATGCAAAAACTAAATGGCACATCAATAGGCGTCCATTAGAACGGATGTGGGCATTTTTACCTTGAGTTTATGGGCAGTCCGTTATTTCAATATTTGTTCCGCATCATTATATCGTATAAAACTTACGTAGGATATCATTTAGTGCACATATGTCAGTATGCCGTCAACTTGGCTTTTGAATACTGATAGTGCTGGACACTAATTACATTCAATGAAGGAGAGTTTCATGGCTGGGGCAGCTGGAGTGAGAAAGTTTCGTCAACTTCTCAGTCCGCTATAATCTTGGTCAGCTTACACCGTTGGCCTCACAGAGATGTGTTTTGGTTGGGTTTTAGCGATGGTATTATGTGCGTTTGTGATATCCTAATATCTGATACACCAATATGAGATTACCCTGTAGACGTCTATGAAGTCTTACGTACACACCTAGTGTATTCCGTTCGTAGGTACAGTGGACGTGTGACAAAACGTATAACCTTTCGTCGTCCAGTGATGATCACTCTCGAATCATGGTTGGTTGGTGCTCCTGCCGCGATTGTCACAATTAAATAGTGTAGTCTAAGTGCTTACCACCGTACACACTATAAGTTTGCTGAAAGTTGGGTGGCGAACTTTCCGAACTCACTTTGCAGAAGGCCGAGGTGACAATTTTTTTGTGGACTTCCGGACTGCCTTTAAAGAGCGTTGGTTGTATTGTACGCTCACACCGGCGTCTCTCGTATCAGAAACGCGCTGTAAAATTTGCAGCCCCAGCAGTTTATAGGAGTGCTATTAGAGTGTATGGATAAGATGTGTTTGTTGGCGTTGAACTGGAAGATGGTCTAAATGGATTACTTGCAAGCTCTGTTCAGATCACTTTACAGAGCTGCTTGCTGCTCCTCTGTAGTTATAGTACGCAATAACTCTAGAGCATAGGCGAATAGTAGAAACATTGAAAAAAGATCCCTTGCGAGGTTATTTATGAAGACCAAGAACAGGGGTGGTAGGTTTATCTAGTAATAGGTTACAAATTTTATGAAAATAAAGGTGCACACCTTTTTGAGTAGGAATATTTGGAAAAATTCCCATAAATCATCAATTGCTTCATATGAAGACCAAATTTGATGAGTAGGACTACTTACTAGATTAAGAACAGTATCCTTATCGTCCGATGTGGTTAAAATTTCCAGTTCATATGCTGCAAAGACGATTGAAACTCATCACAGAAGCGGCCACACCCAAGGTACTGTGAAGATAGAACGACAAAGCTTATGTTCTTGGAGAACTGCCTAGGTATATTTATGTGAACGTCACGCGCACACACCGTGCTTCACATTAAAATAGAAATTTTACGGACTAGCTCTTCACAGTAAGATGTAATGCCCAAAGCGTTATTCTGCACGATTAAATTCCCATGCGATTTGTAAGTTACTATAAGTTTGCCACCTTGAATGCGACGAATCACAATTGATATTGGTCGACCAACTTGTACTATGATTCAGTTGCATAAGCTGCGAGTTAATTGGCGCAAGCTACTCGCAAACATTGCATCAGTTCCAAGAAGCGAACTGACGAAATGCGCATAACTGAGGATGCCCAATAAGGCAAAACCGTCCAGTGGATTCGTACGAATTGGATGTTAAACCATATGGCGTGTGAGCTATTTGGACGAACCCGTAACTACTGAGTCAAACTACTAATTGTTAGAAATCTCTAGTAGTCCATGCGCGCGACAAAGCTGCGGCATCAAGAGTCGATTCACAGCCCCGTACCCCTACAAACATGAAGTAAAATGTACCCACGTGGTGGAAAGTTTTAGGACATCCCAAAATCTTAACGTTGTGCCATTGCCGCAGATGGGAAATTTTGACAGTGAAGTTATGCAAAATCTATGAAAATGTCACCGAATCACAGTGTACAATGAAGCTGCCCATTAGATCGACTTGTGGTTAGTCCGTTGCATCAGTTAATGGCATTCTGGTATGGTGTGCATGGAGAATTTTAAGTGATACAATGTGTGTGCGTGATTTGCAAAGGCATATCATTGACACAAAGAAAATATGTGCAGTTGTATGGCGTAGCAATATGAAACGACCAATATGTTATGTTCCTTATAAAAGCAAAATTTCAAGGACAGCGAACAAATAGCATGAGCGTGTTGAGCCGTGCCGCGTAATTTGCAGTGACTCACAAACGTCAGATATATTAATTGTTATTTGGACTTACCGAACGAGCCTTGGTCTAAAATATCATCTTGAATAGATAATAAATAAGAGCGGGAGGATAAACATAAGGAGAGGAACGTTAACGCTATCTTCAATGGGCTTAAAATTAATGGGTCACTTTGCAATATTTTGTTTACAACAATTAACGTTTCATTCGGCGGTATTTACGAATACGAATTCTTCCAAAGAAACCGGTTGCTTGCATTGATTTTGCCATGAAATATGCTACTTATGGAGACTGAGTAGTGCGTCCTTAGGTATTCTCAACTCACCCTCAGCAAACCGATCTTCCGGGATTGCCATAAAGGCTGGTGAATCGCCATCTTGCATCAAGTTGCTGCTCATGAACTTCACGTCACGCATTTTACATACACACGTTAATTCCATTGTTTGGGGATCATAGAACCATCGGTCAAGACGGCAGTCCGCTTCTGAATCCAGTTTAAAAACCGAACGCTGTGTGGTTCAAAGCAAGAATGTTGAGTTGGCGTTATCAAAAAAATGCCATGTGAACTAGATCTTTTGAAATGGTAGCGGTATGTAATATGGGATATATAATTCTTTAACTTTTTTGTATTGTAAAGCTCATTAGAAGTAAATTGCGACTAAATGAGTGTTGAAACCAATGCAATCACGAATACGGCAGGTTATGGTGTAATGACAAACCACCAACTTGGTTTCTACAGTGTAACTCCACGGTTGATCCAATTGTTTGATTCATGAAGTCAGAGTATGGTCTGCGGTCCACTCCAATCGTAATTGACACGAAGTCTAAAGTAAATGATGTTGTATCACAGGTTAAGTACAAAAAACAATGTTTAGCAGTTATATTAATTGGTTTCTGCACAAATTCGTTTGTTTGCAAGACAGTGCAACATTGGCAATAGGTCATCCAATTCTAATGAAGACAAGTTGTATCAAGTGGGACGAAATTCTGGAACATTATAAAATAAAATGATGAGTTTTGAATGCGGACGTTATGGCCAGGCAGGCTTTGATATTTATAATTTACTCAAACTTCTGCCACTCTGCTCGAGAATTGATCTAATATCTGGCTAATTAAATTGGTACCGATAATTGCGCATAATTAAAGCTAACGTCGAAAAGTATGCTGATGGTCGGAAACCCAGCTTATGTGAAAAAGTATCACCGGTTCCTGGCAAAGAGCATCAAGTACAACATAACTAAATCACTTTCGAACTTACAGAGGCTTTAGATGAGTTTAATCTATCCGATAAATTCATGTCCACATTGGATGTTCAATCGCTTTTCACCAATGTTCCGCCACATGAAAGAGTTGATTACGCGTATGAAATGGCAGAGTGCTCCGATTAAAGTCTTCCAGTGCCAGTCGAATTATTAAATGACAGCTTACTGCTATGCACCGAGAACATCGGTTTCCAATTCCAAAACATTAACTATCGCCAGATAGGTGGGGTGGCAATGGTTAGTCCGTTAGTCCCTGTGCTAGCCGATTTTTTGATGTCTATGATTGCAACGAAGTTGGGTGTAGAAATATCACTTCTTTCCTGCCATAAGCGGTAAGTGGATGATATTTTAGTGTTTAGCTCATCAGAGAAGCACATTGCGCGTCTGGTCGATCGCCTGAATAACGTACATACGAATCTGAAAGTAACCGGCGAAACAGATAAAGGCAACTGCCTCCCGTATCTGTAAGTGTTGATTTGCCGAAGAGCAGATGGGTCCATCAAAAGAGAGGTATACCTAAAACAGACTTGGTCAGGGCAGTACCTGCACTTTACCAGCTTCTCCCCAATGCGGTACAAGCGGACCTTAATTAAGATGCTATTCAACCGTTCAAGGAAAATAAGCACTACCAACATTTTAGATGTTGAGATAAACTCGCTCAAGGAAACGCTGTTGAAAAATGACTATCCGAGTGGATTAATCGGCAATAGTCATGCGAAGGTGTCGACACAAAAGGTTTCGACGGTGTCTAAAAAGAAAATCTACATCGAGCAATCATTTAAGGGAGAATTTGACAATATGAGGACAATGAATAGCATAACTTCCGCAGTCCAGAGAACTTATTATGCTGCCGAAACTGTTCTTATAAACCGGACTAATCGGATACCTGTTACCCCACTGACGGAAAGACAACATATTCGCGCCAACTCACATTGTAGTTACCAATTTACTTGTATTTGTGGTACACACTGCATCGGCCGTACCAATAGATCGTTGAACTGCAAAATAAGAGAACATGTACCTAAATGGTTGCAGCGTCAAATCACACAGTCGTCGGTCGCTCATACCATCTGTTCACGTAAGCCACCTGCTTCATCAATAGGTAAGCCACCTGTCATCAGTTTGATCCGGCCAAAATGTTTCTACTCGTGTTAAGACATGCTAACGCCCGTTTCCTACGTTTTGCAGAGGCAATCGCGATCAGCCGTATCAAATGTGCACTCTGTGTGCAGAAACAGTTTTCGTAAGCCTATGGCTGCTCTAGGCGTACAGGTGTCAAGCCTTACCCCTACCCTGTTCTAACTTGTTCCGGTCTCACCCTACCTGTCGTCTTATATATGTTCATGTTAATGCGTTGGCAAGGAAGAGACAATACGAAATGTTGACTTCTGCCAATGTTAGTCTTCTGACGGCTTTATTCAAATTCATAAACGAATCTAATTGTTACAAAATCCCTTTAGGCAATATGTCTTATTAAAAATGACATACCATAGACTAACCATATTTCATGCTTAGTATAAATTTCATTTCAGAACATCATCTAAAGCTGAATAACTGTAGTTATGAAGAATCGTTAAAGTCATGGTCAAGATACATTTCCAACTCACCGCTGGTGACGCCAAGCAAACAAGTTAGAAGGCAAAATAGAGTTAGCATATGCATCTTCCAAGTGATTTTGTCCGTGTACGTAGAGTGATTGAGCTTCTGGAATAAAAACACACAATCTATAGGCATCCGTATGAATTTGGAAAAAATGGTAGCCAATCATGGAACAGACTAGACAGGTAAACACTGAGAGGGATCACTTGTGGCAACCTAATTTGCTACGTGTGTCGCGTAAACCGCACATTTGACCTGTCATTGAAGTTGTCATTATTGGTTCACTGTGCCTGAAGCGTTTAATTCTGATTTACCCTAAGCCAAATGAGCTAGGTACAAACACAGGAACCATTTGATACACTGGTGTTCAAATCATAGTAACGTGCTTGCATGGTAAAGGAACATACATTCAGAAAGCGCTGAGAGGCTCATCCAGCACCAATTATGCAGGCGGATAAGATTTCATATGATTTCTGATATTTTAACACTTATTACATCCTAGAACTGGTAGTTCTAACCGGCAGATTAGAGCACGGCAAGTGTAAACAAATTGCAAGCTTTTTCCAAACTAGTAATAAATAAATAAAAGGTATATCACCCGGTACCGTTGTGTACAATTTAATTGTATGTTATAATTTATACCTGTCTATGGGATGACATTACATAATTACATTCTCGAGGTATCATAATGGTGCTCAAACGGATGTTTGACTGGATTGTCAGGCAGAAGCTACAAAAAGTTGGAGAATTTCAGAACAATTATTAACGCAGTGATAGCGACGCATTCATTTGACGTAACATGGACATAAGTGGAACTGTCTCCAGGGTACCTGCTTCCATGCAGTATATTCTCTAGGAAAGTTTCACCCCAGCATCCTTACCTCTTGTAGTCGTGTTCCAGTGTAGCAAGTAAACTATCAGCGTTTTAACACGTAGACCAGTTATTATATGCACATATTTCGAGCGATTATGTCTTCACGCTTGTTCCATAATTCGGCTGTTTTGAGCATGGCATTTTTATTGAATGTCAGTAACTTAGGGGTAGCACACCCTGCATTTTAGATATATAGGATCCGAAGTTTCCATAAGTTAACTTCGGAGGACTGCCCAGCGTTAGCCAAATATGAAATACGGAAGTGTATAACAAATGAGTTGATAAATGTAATAATAATGACAGCTATGCTAATAGATATCACATGTCGCCACCATTGTATGCATGGACGGATCATCTGATTAAATTGTTCAACACGACAGCATGAAATCGATGGTTGCTTGAACTATACGTTCGTTAGGAAAGAATTTTCCTAATCAACCTTAGTTGTTTATCGTTAAACCGGAGAGATTTCAACATGTCCAAGTGCTGGTACCTACTATTTGACCCTGAACTGTTGCATTCTAAATAGAAGTGGTCAACATTGTAGAAGATTATACATGAACTAAAGAACGAATATCATGCTACGGTCAGTTTATGGTTGGATTACGCAGATTACAGTGCGCAACAACAAAACAGATATTTTCTATCTCAGCAATTCCGATGTTTTTATCGGATAGAATACATTCCACTGGTCGTAGAAATGCATTCCGAAGTAACTTAGCAGGTCAGGTTACACTGTTATGGGCGAACGATTACTTTTTGTAATGTTAACGCCACGTCACACGATTTATATTTAAATGCATCCAATCGTAACGTATAAAATATGAATCTGTGGTAAATACGTTTAAAACATCACTGCAACACTCGCCGCTAAATATCGACTGCATCTTGGCACTGGGAAATGATAAATTTGCCAAAATGGTCGTTTGTGTGATCCAGCGCTCTCAAGTTGAAGAAACCATCAAAAGTCGCACAAAATAGTAGACGTGTGATTGCCACTGTAGCGCTGCTCCATGACTTAGATATCTAGTTGAAAGTGCTTACCATGCTTATCACTAATGGATCCCAAATTCTCAGGGAATAGGTCAAGTTAACTGCATTTTGAGTGACATTTAAGCACCAACAGCCCGATACTCCGCAATGATCTAACTTGTGATGTCTTTTTAGTTTTCTGCCTACGTTCCCAAAAAAATCCTTTACCTATTGCGTTGAATGATCGCCACGCTTCTAATTCAAATAAAGTCAACTGACATTCGAAAACACTATCTGCCATTATCTGGCAAACACCAGGCCCAGTATTTATCCCATCTTTGAGCTTCGCATCAGTGATCTTCGGAAACACTTAGTTCAGGTACTGGAACGCAACACCTTCTCGCTCGATGGCTCTGACCACGTTTTTAATCAAACTAAACATGATGTGCATGATGGTAGACATATTTGATCAGGTTGCACAATGGGTGTACTATTTACACTCGTTTTTCCGACAGGATACTCTTTACTCATTGGCCATTTTTCGGTAATGCAGTGTTGTTCAGTTGCTCTACTGTCTCATAAGCACATGAAACATCAATACTTGGTTAAATCTGCTTGCATACTTATTAGGATACCAATCACTCTGAAGTCAGATGAGATGTACTAACAGTACTTATCGTAGTTCATTGTAGCGAGTAGCCGTTGCATATTTTCATCACTCGCCTTCCTATTGATGACGTGCAACAGAGGCAATGTTAGGTACGCATTTCCATTGTGGAGCAGTTTGGCCTATAGGACACTCTTGAAGGAGTCCAAGAACAAACGGCATTCATCACTGAGATGCCTCACACCAAGCGCCTTCATCAGTACTTCCCACTCGGAACAGTAAGAGAAGGTATCTCTCTCGTGTCTTTTAAACCGGACAATTTAACTATTCACTTCTGTATATACTAAACGTACTGTTGGCAGCAAGTAAATGCCACTGCTGCAGCCGAGATGCCAACAACTCAGCCTTGTCTTTAGACAAGACCAGGTTACGTACCAAGCTATGACTGTTCGATAACAAGTGTATCGATAACATCGACTTTAAAGTTTTCACAAACTTCAGAATCAGGTGAAGCTAACGATACGCAATCACTACTCATCATCAGTAACGTGTTCACTGGAATGGGAATGCATGAGGAACAGGTCGAATAGCTGATGGAAGTTCGGGATAATGACGTTCGTTTTTGTTTCGGTTGGATATTCCAATACCATCGTTTAGGCAGAAGTACCAGTCTGCTGTGTGATGCTTCGGCTCCCTCCGCACCATAGGGATTGCAATGATATTCTGCCTTTGTCCTTAAGCCACTAAGTCAGATGAAGACTACACGTCCAATTCTTATCCAGAGTTCCTAGTTTCATCCCGAAATATGCGTGGTAGGCAGACGTCAGTAGAAAAAATATGGGTCTGTACTGCGACTTGTAGTAAAAGATTTAAGAATGTAACACAAAGGAATTCAGTCAATGACAAAGCAGCGTCTTTCAGCCGTGATCATGATAACAAATAAACTAACACAGCTCGCAATCATCTTTCAGTAGAAGGTGGATGGCATGGACAGGCGGAATTTTTCCTCCGTTATAGGGAGCCAATTGACCCATTACCCATTACCCATTGACCAATTATCAAGTATCGTGGCGTCAAATGGATAACTTGTGTTGGCAAGTTGATTGCCTGACTCCTGCTCAAACGCCTCGTCAGTCAGGTTATAGAATCGAATGTGGCAGACAGGGGTGTGGATAGGTTTTTAGTCGCAGCATTATAGATGCAGTGCTTACGGCAGTGCAATTTCAGGAGAGGTAAACCGAAGGACACCAGCCATTGTACTCGCTTTCCGTTAATTTTAAAAAGACAGTAAATACCATGAAAAGCAAGCTAGGGTGGAAACCAGAGCTTATTATTTCCTGGCTGACGCCTGAATACAATGCTACTAAGGAACGCGAGCAACGCTTGGCACCGCGGAAAGTAATTCAAAGTTGAATTTAGGGAGCTCGCTGTATGGTTGGGTTGTGACTCACAACCTCAATTGAGACCTTGGCTCACTTTAAGGTGAAGCACGCTCATTCCGATTCCAAGGATCGTATCCCGAATGGATATATTTAGGTTTTGATCTTCCCAACACTGTCAAACTACTACCGCGGATTCGCCTTGGTTTAGACTCGTCAGGTGGAGGTAGCTTGAGCTGGGTTGGAACTCAGAAGTAACAGTTCCTGCCCAAGGTTCTTAACACTATGCCACTGAGATCCGCGAGCAAACCTTAGCAGAGCGGATAGTAATACAAAGCTGAATTTAGAATGCATGATGTGTGGTTCGGTTGCGACTCGCAACCTCTACTGAGACCTCGGCTCACGTTGAGGTAAACCTCGTTCATCCCAATATCGAGGAGAGTATCCCGAATGGATATATTTGGGTGTTGCTCTTCCCAACACTGGCACAACCCGACCGCTGTTTTGTCTGGGTTTAGACTGGTCAGGTGGAGATAGCCTGAGCACGGGTGGAACTCAGAGGTTAGTAATTACCGACTGACGTCCTGAACACCAAGCGCGCTCTATAAAATCATCTTTATTAACTTACCGCTTTATTAAGTTTCTGCTAGCTCGCAGACCTCAGTAGCACAGTGTTCTGGAGATCAGCCTGGAAATACTAAACACTGAGTCCCAACCCAGCTCAAGCTATCTCCAACTGACGTGTCTAAACCAAGAAGAAACCGCGGTCGTGGTGTGCCAGTGTTGGGAAGAGCAACACACAAATACATCCATTAGGATTAGGATCCTCGATTTTGAAATGACCGACGTTTATATTAAATAGAGCCGAGGTCTGTATAGAGGTTGTGAGTATTAAAACAACCACATAGCGTGCTAAATAAGTTCAGATTTTAACTACTTTGCATTGTGCCAAAAGTGGCTCGCGGATCGCAGTAGCATAGTGTTAAGGAGATCGACCAGAAACTGCTAAGATTTTAGTTCTTCCTCATATCATGCTATCTCCACCTGACGGGTCTAAACCAAGACGAAACCGCGGTTTTGATGTGCCAGTGTTGGGAAGAATAACACCAAAATATATCCATTCGGCATACGGGAAACGAGATCGGAATTACCAACGTCTACCTCAATGTAAGAAGTGGTCTTAATATAGGTTGCGTATTGCAACCCAACCACACAGTGTGCTCCCTAAATTCGGCTTTGAATTACTTTCCGCTGTGCCAAGCGCTGCTCGCGGATTGCGAAAGCATAGTATTCAGTACGTCAG